TGTTGTAGGACTAGTATAGAGAATATAGTGGTAGCAATAAGAAGACTCAGGCTATTCTGGTTTAATACATTCTTGAACTTGTTTAAAGTAATTCTGCCCCTAAGAAATAAAAACAGTCTTTTCAATATGTAGACTTTGCAAGACTTTTCTACTGATACTATACAGAAGAAAAAGCGTTGTTTTAATCATCTTTTAAAAAGCATTTGGCTATTAACTAGTCCTGTGTGGGAGATCTTTTTTAAATGCACTTTTTTTTTTGTTTGCCTATTCAAATGTCTATAATTACCCTGGGATAATATATAAAATCATACCATCATCCTCATCACCATCATCAGTGAATAGCAGTTTTATGCACAAAGTTCTACATATGAAAAGACATGATTTATTATTCTTTGTGCTTCAACTAACGCTGAGTTAGAAGGAACAATTTGCTTTGTGCTGGGATAAGAAAGATTGAAACTAGAAAAAAAAACACTAAATTATTCCTGAATAAAATAAAGAGCTGGAGTTTTAAAGAATCCAAATCTCTTGGTTTTCAGTCCAACTTCTTTGTTTCCAATTACTGTGATTGACTCCTTCTCCTCCCTCCATTCTCATGAGATTACTGTTTTCAGCCTACACTAAATTGTCTTTCTGGCATCTCTACTTGGGGAACAGGGCAGTGAGGGGACAGGAATATGAACTGACTTTGTTATTAGATAATGTTTCTAAAGTCTTTGCCAAAGTTCTCTACCAACATCATTTGGAGCCATTCAATTAGAACTAGATGATACATTTATTGAAAACTAAGATATTGAAAGGATTAAGTTTCTCGAGCCTAAGGGGAGAATGGTTCATGGAGTCCTGAATAAACTGGGATAACACTGGTGAAAAAAATCTTTCTGGCAACAAAAGATGGAATATTGCCATTTTCAAACATTAAGTAAAGAAAATGAGAAAATAAATATGTAAATAAAGAAGAATGCCAATGTCCCAATACAAGCACAGACTAGAGAAGGTATGAATAAGAGAAACTTTCAACCCATCTTCTCTTATTTCTTTTGCACTGGATTTTTTACTTAAACATTGTGTTGGATACAAAGAAGCATTACTATTTGGCATATGAATTTATGAAAACTATCCATCCACTAGAACAAATTAAAAAACCTAAGCAAACATTCATGTTTCCATAAATGCATGCATCATGGTCTAGCAAGTCTAATAAAATGTTTTGATTATGAGATGTTATTTTGACATAAACAAAAAGTCATTAACTAAATTTGATATTTGACTTGCAGGTGTTAATTCACTACATAGGTTAATTTTGACTTAAGCTAATAAAATCCTGATATTTTAAGAAAAATCAAAACCATGGTGAGTTCACTTAAATTTGGTGGTATAAAATTTCATAAGTACTCCACCAAATAACGAAGACCATGATTTTGTTGGTAAAAGAAAAATCAAAGAGCATAGAACGACAAAAGAAAAATGTGCATTTTTTCCCTGAAGTTGATCCTATGTGAGAGATAACTTAACCCTTAAAAATATTAAAAGTTGTTTCCTCAATATACGTAGGAAATGGTTAACAATACAAAAATTGACAAAGGCATATTAGCCCATAACCTTAGCAGTTATAAAAAATATTTCTAAAATCACAGTGATTTAACAGACTAAAAATATTTATCTTGCTGACAGACTGTTCATTGTGAGCCAACAAGCTCACTGGCCTCTGAACTGTTATTCTAGAGTTCATTCTTTTTTAATGCTAGAATGTCCCCATCTTCATTCAGAGGTTCACTGATTTAGATCTGCTGGAACAATCACTGCCTCTCCCACTCCGCTGGCTAGAACTTGCCACATTACCTGATTGAGAGTCAAAGAAAATGATAAATTTACTTTAGCTAAATGAATGTCCAGGAGGAAAATGAAACTGGTGAATGCAAAAGATTTTCTCAGCCATTGGGGCTTTACCAGATTAAAACATCATCCTGATATAATGCTTATTTGTCACCAAAGTGAGAGAATATTATAATAAATACCACTTGAGTTTTGCAATCTACCTACATGACTACCATATGGTAGTTTTCATATTTGTCAATTTCAGGAGTTGCCCAGTTGACTAACAACAGTCCCAGAGGGCAACCCGACCTGGGATGGTCTGCACCTTTAGGTTCTGTAACTAACACAATCAGTTGTAATCAGAAGGCAATGTAGATGGATGAGTGATGGCAAGCAAAAATCATCTGAGGATTAAAATATGTGCAAGAAATCTGATTCATGGGTTAGTAATATAAAGTTAGGGCCCTCCATGGTGGCACAGTGGGTTAAAGCAGAGCACTATGAAGCTCTCCACAGCCACTGCAGCACGAGTTCAATCCCCGGCCAGGGAGGTGACCCACTTGGCAGGGCAGACCTCTCCTAACCCACCCACTGCTCCCCTCAGCAGTGTATTTCAGTAGATCTGCTTTTTCTACTCCCCACTCTGTCTCTGATAAGATTTGTTCTGCTAGTACGAGATCAAGAAGATCTTCAGGTGCAATGATGGCTAAGTTCAAGGATCATATGTAGGCAAGGACCTTTGTATTGTGTTTTTAAACTTTAGAGGAATATAATGAATGAATGAAACAATTCAGTTGGAAGCAAATCAGAATAAAACTAGGTGAAGGGGAAAAGCATGGAAGAAACCTAAGGAAAATGAACATTTACAAAAGTAGTTCTATTCTATTTGCTTTTGAGTGTTATTAATTATGGTTTGAATGAAAGGGGGCAGGGGTGTTTTCTGGCCATGTGTGTTTATGACCAATTTGAGATTTTTGCAGCAGAAGCGCAAAAGTCTGACCTAGCTCAGGTGAAGGGCTCATGTTTCACCAGCCTTGTTTCTTTGATGCATTGTCTCACAGCTTCATATCACAGTATGAAAACTTTTAGAAAAGGAAAGAAGACAGAAACTTCAATCATGTCATTCCAATAGCAGGAATAAATGCAACTGCAAAGGCAAAAGATTCTCAAGGCACTCTGAATTTCAGTTCTATGATTTTTCTGAACTGATTTAAAACTTGGTTTAAAAGATGTTCATCAATCATATTTTATTAGCAAGTAAACATGAACAAAATGGCTTCTGATAAGTGAAATGCTGTTTTGTCTCATTATATTGGATGACAAGCGAGATCTTACAGCTTCCTTCAAATCAGTGGAAAAACAATTATCTGTAAAAAGTATGTGCAAACATTTTTCCTACAAAGCTAAAGATTCAAGGCAACGTGTCTGGAATGTGTTTCTCCCTTTAGGCTGCCTCTGTTCCATGAAACATCTGTCTCAATTTCCTCTCTTCCTGGAGCCTCCTTTGGTCTTTGTGCAAATCCATTCCTTCTGAATCTGCCCCTTCTGACTCTACAGATGGAAACCTTATGTCTCTCTACTTAAGGAAATGTGCCCAACCAGAGACTTTCTGGTCAGGTTTTATATCTTCATGCATAGCTTTTTAATGCACCCAATACAGTATGATTTGCTTTGGGTTTAATATGATGCTTTAAATGCATTAAAGAAAGCACCACCATAAATGAAACTTCTCCACAAAGTCTGCAAAATTAAGCATAGAGATGTGAATTAACTAATTCTGGACAAGCAACATTTAAACCATACTTCAGTAAGTGGTGCCCGACCTCCTATTCTGCTATAGCCCAAAAGTACAAAGAAAAGACATTAACTCAGAGTTCAACATCAAGTATGTCTGGATAGGTAGAAATTTCATAGGAACTGTGAGGTGTCAATTATTTTTCCACAAGGGGCCGAGGGATATTTTTCATTCGTGAAGCAATGAATTCAAATTTATCAAAAGTAATGTTTAATAAATACATCTTTAAAATGTTTTCATTATCTAAAACATCTATCTATAACATTCAAAAAATATCTACTTATTATTTTACATGTACAATTATTATAGTGGTTGTCATTTTGGTGTCACATAAGCTAGAAAGCAAGTTTTGTGGTGTTTTTTTTTAACTACAAGCAAGTAATATAAAAGGATAAAAAGGATCAGGAGGTCATACAGCATGCTCAAAGGAGAATCTGAGATTTTATGAGGAACGTATGCCCCACAAGTGGGGTTGTTTACAACCCAACTGTCTGTTACTAATTCTCACCAAAGCTTCTAAGGTCATCACAGAGGTAGACATTTACTGAGTAATGGAAGGAATAGAACTTGAGACAGGGAGGAGTGTTTAGAATGAAGTGGTTGTTACAAATGCAAACAGTTCTTAGGGGCATATTATGCACAAAAGAAAAGTGAGTATAATCTGAAGTATAATACCTGAAAAAAATCTCTGAATTTTCTTTCTACTGCATACTATTGCTTCCTAATTTTTAAAGTTCTCAAAAAGATCAATCTTAATAGAGTCAAGTTGTTCGTAATACTTGTTATTCAAAAAATGTCAAAAATATATAGAAATGGCATAGCATAATCAAAGCATAGTTTACTTTTCTACATGCATTTTATTTTAGTAGAAAGGGTTTTTCAGTGAAATACAATTGGGGGAAACAAAATTTATTGGAACAAAAATTTGAATTTGGACACTGAGGAATAAAGTACTGGAACAAAACCATCCATGTCTTATTGGTTATTATATTCGAAAGGAACAGAATATGGGCTGAAGATTTAAAGGGACTTTTGGATTATATTATGCACTTGCCTGGATTAATGTTGGTGTTTTACAATAATGCATTCTTATAATGTGCATTTCAAATGTTTCATAAACCTTAAGAGAAATGGTAATTAAAAAAAAACCTAAGATATGAACATAGAAAGACGCACAAAAGAGCAAGAGGACTTTTTAAAGAGAATTGGAAACTATTACTGAGATTTGAGAAACGAATTTAATTTAAATCAACTGGAACCATATGTGCCTTCCCAGGCAAGCAGGCAGGTTTCTGCGTTAAATTTTAGGACACGAGCGACCTCTTGTGGTCACAGTGGATATTTTAAATTCATAGAAGCCTGCTTGATGAGATTCTGCTGTTTTCAGATTGAAATAGCGACCGTGATGCCATCTGGGAACAGAGAGCTCCTCACCCCGCCCCCACAGTTAGAAGAGGATGGAGAAGAAGAGGAGTCCACCCCCAGGCTGATCGACGGCTCTTCCCCACAGGAACCTGAATTCACTGGGGTTCTGGGCCCACACACCAATGAAGGTCAGGCCCATCCAACCTGAACTGTAACTAAAGCCAAAAGCTACAATTACACAGGGAACCTACATGACCCGAAAAGAAAGTTTTGGAATAGGATATACATGTATTTCATATTAGGTTATAAATCAGTTTTAATAATTCAAAATTTGGACTGGTAGAAATAATCAAACAGCCAAAGATTTGGAACGGCCTTATAACGCAAAGCCTTTGTGCTAGAAACCATTTCTAGAACAAAGGATATGATATTAGCAAGCTGGGAATCTGTGTGGGAGATTGGGCCCCAGCGGTTCAAGGCAACAAAGTGACACAGATGGCGGCGATGACAGTAACCGTACTTTGCCTTGCATGAGGGTTTATGATCCTGTTCCATAAGGGCCAGCACTTCCTATCATCTCATTTGACTATTGCAAGCTTGCTGTCCAGAGGAATTAGCTCAAAATGGATCGACGTGCCAAAGGCCACCGTGTTAATGTTCTCCACACTGGTTTGAAGTTGTCCTATTCTGATTCTTGGTTGTGCATTTCATGGAAAACAGGCTTCCCCTCAATTCTCTGCAGCAGGAATGTCTTGTGTCACTTACATGTACTTCTTTGCTTCCCACACATTAGTCCATTTCCCTCATTCCACACACCACACACACATCTTTCTTAGCGTTATCACCAGCTCTTTTCCTTCTTCATTGTCAAGCATCTCGCCACCACTGTCTGTATTTGCTGTAACTATGTTCTCACCACTGTCTATATTTGCTGTAACTATGTTCTCACCTGTGACGTCCTCCTTCGTTGACTCTGGCCCTCTGGCAGTCTGCCTCTGGCCCTCTCAGGACCACAACTGTCCATTCATTTTCTTATTATCACCAAGACAGCTAACCCAAGCACCATTCTCAGTCCTTACCTTCCACGCTATCTCTGCAAGCTTATAGAGCTTTCTCTTCCCTCCTCAAACTCATTGCCACTAAGCCTCCATAATATTGCTCCATCTGGTTTGCTTCCTTCCTTCTGGTCATTGTTTCTCTTTCGTTGTCTGTTCCATGACCACTCGGGAAGAGTGAAGGAGCAGGTGCTGTGTGTGTATGTGTGTGAAAGCGAAGGATCAGTATGTCTAGGTATAATCCAGCCTCACAAGTATCTTCAGACCTGTTGCTTTTTCTATCACTGCTACATAGCCAATTTAATGCTTGTGACACACCGTGACTTATGGAGAGTTAAATCCATTTTGAGTGAATTTCCTCTGTGCAGGGAGGTTGCAATTGACAAGTGAGAGTGATATGAAGTGTTGACCATGATGCTCGTCTTTAATCTAGACTGTAGTTCATTCCCACCTTCTCAGGAAGTCCTCCTTAGGTCTCCATCACACCTTCAAGCAGAACAATTTTTTAACATGCCAGTCTGATCTCAATCTTAGAATAAGGCACAGGGAACCTGTCCCATAGATGAGGGTGCTCTCTGTGCTGTGCATAGGACCCTGCCTGTTCCTTCAAAGTGGGGGTACTTGGTACACAGAGCTGCTTCTTCTTTCTGTATACGCCTCTCTCCCAGTGGCATGGCCAACCTTTCCTCCCCCTGAAGAGCTCCTGTGGACTGCAACTCAATGATCACATCCTCAAATAATCATGACTGACTTACAGAACGGAGGCTGAGTCTCCTATTTCATTACCATGATGTGTGATTAATATTCATTTCACACAGAGGAACATAAAATCAAACTGTCCCTTACCCCCCACTGTTTCATCTGTGTTAGCACAGTATTATTTACATAGAAAGGATTGAAAAGTACATATAGACTGAATTAATATTAATGATTATCACTCCAATTTTTTTCCTTGAAGCAGATTTTCTTGGGTGGGGTGTTTAAATATTGAACCAAAGGCCTAATAAAAACATGATGGAATGTTTTGACTTTAACAACCACAATTTAATATTTACATTTGAAAATAGAATTTCTAACAGGTATAAAAATAACAACCATGCTATAACCATTCAGTACTTTAAAATAAAAATTTAAAACACTACAGATAATCTATTAATTATCGGGACAGCTTTAACTGGCATGTTTGACTCATTATGTTCTCATAATTATTTCAATCATCTGAAAATTCTCTTAAATGTATATTTTGCTGCTCATGGATCTTGGACTTTTAGGAAATACACAATTTCCCATCATGGAAGAAGAACCTTTAACGATTACAATCTAAATTAAATGCATAAAGAATATTAGGAAAATTGAAAAAAAAAAAGTTATTTTAAATACAGAAAATGATAGACAAAAATTGAAGCCTACCAGGTTACTCTGTGACTTCAAAGTTGTTTTAAATCCTGACTAATTGCATTTCCTAGAAAAGTCTTTTGTTATTTACAGGTACTTATTTGCCTCTGTCTTTAGATTTTCCAACCTGCCTTCTGTGTACTTGTCTCAGTACCACTGTATACTGCGATGACCATGAACTTGATGCTATTCCACCACTGCCCAAGAACACCGCTTATTTCTATTCCCGCTTTAACAGAATTAAGAAGATCAATAAGGATGATTTCACAAGCCTAAGTATGGAAGACATCACCCATGTCCTTCTCTTCTTTACAGACTGTCTTAAATCATTTGCCACTGTCAAATATTGGTATTGAAAATGAATATCAAGGGCCCTCCCTGGTGGCATAGAGGGTTAAAATGCAGCACTAAGAAGCTAAAGCCACTTCAGCATGAGTTCCATCCCCAGCCTGGAGGTGACCACATGGAGCAGCAGACCTCTCCTGACCCGCCCGCTGCTCCCCTCAACAGTGTACTTTGTCTATCTGCCTGTTCTGCTCCCCACTCTGTCTCTGGTGAAGCCCTTCACCACCCCTGCACCTCTGGCCTGTACCCCAGTTCTGTTTGTCTAAGTAAATAAATCTTAAAAAAAGAAAAAAAAGAAAATGAGTATCAAAATGGGGCTCATACATTATACATCAATGATTTTCCTTGTTTAAATAATTGAAGGTTTGTTTGGATGATGATAAAATAATAAATCATGAATGATGATAAAATAATAAATCATGAAAGGTCTAGGTTTGTTGAAGTTTTCAAATGAATTATTTATCATTAAAGAGAAAACAAATAATTATATTTTACATGTTAGAATACGTTATTATGCTATGATATTTACTAGGATTTGTGAATAAATGTCCACGAAAGCCCAGTTCTTGCTGACTGAGGAATTCAAGTCTAAATTCTGACTCAATAATTTAGAAAACACACAATCTCCCATTATGAAGGAAGAACTTTAAAGAGTAAAAGCTAAATGAAACATATAAAGAATATAGAAAAATGGAAAAAGTTATGTTAAATATATGTGCAACTTGCTAGAGTTACACTTTCCTCTAAGTACTATTTGAAAGAAACAAATTTTTATAAAGTAGTTAGAAAATTTCACTAACTTTCCATTGCTAATGAAATTCATATTGAAATGTGCTTATACTGGGAAAAATTATGATCTTAGATTTATGTGTGCAACTGTGATCAAGAACATTCTTTTTATTTTCTAGATGATTTAAGAAGAATTGATCTAACATCAAATTTAATATCTGAGATCGATGAGGATGCATTTAGAAAGCTACCTCAGCTTCGAGAGCTCGTCCTGCGTGACAACAAAATCAGGCAACTCCCAGAATTGCCAAACACCTTGACATTCATAGATATTAGCAACAATAGACTTGGAAGGAAAGGAATAAAGCAAGAAGCATTTAAAGTAAGTTTTAAGTTTGTGTATCAAAGACTTTCCTCTTCCCATCCCAATGCTAGTCTTTTTTTTATTTCTCAAAAAGGATTCAACTTGATAAAACTTTAACTGCTAAAATAAACCTCATAACATGATTAATCATGTTTTGGCAAAATACTATGTCTTTATAAATTCTGGACCTGGTGAAGCACCAAGAACAGAACTGGGTTAAAGTTTGGTGATTTTATTTTTTTTCCATGAACTCCATTTAAGGAGAGCATTTGATGTGGTTAAAATAACTACTTGTGCAAAGTCTGGGTGATGCTTTGAGGGTTCTAAATTATTTTGTAAGGAGAATGTATTCACTTCAACTTAAGAATTTTGTGAGGGAAGGAAGAAAGTTGGAGGACAGAATGACTTGCTTGAAATTAACAGCATAGAGTCTAAGAACAATTACGACCAGTTCTTTGTCCACTCTTCCTCCAGTAAGGCTATCCTTCTAAATATATGTTGAACAAACGTAACATACCCTTTGAAAGGCCAGCATGTGACTCTCAGGAAGATCACAGGGGACTGTATAAACTCATTAACATTGGACACGAGGGAAAAGCCTGTTTCGCCATTAGCCTTCGCATGATGGGCAAGGTCACCTCACTATAACCTTTAAAGGTCTTGATCCATTTTCCCCAGCCAGCTGAGGTCATCATGCATGGGTGATGGAAAGTTGGTTCTGTGTGTTTTTCTAGAGTAGAAATGATATTGTTTCAATATTTTCTGTCTTGGTGAGACCGCCCTTTTCCTGGTACTTGGGGTAAAGAGCAAGCTTTTTGATGGGGATAAATGTGTACTTCTCCATCTCTATAACATGAAAGCAAGTTTTACTATGCCTCAGCAAAGTCCTCAAAGTCCTATTACAGAATACATTCCATGGGAAGTAGCTACTTTACTTAAATCGTGAAAGAGTGTACAAGCAACGTTCTTTCTAGAAATTGAATAAGACTTCATTTTATACAGAAATATTTGGTTCTAGTCAATTCCTCCAAAGTTCATTTAAAACATGTATTAACTTGAAAAACAGATCTGCTTCAACTTTTTAAACAAACCTAGACAGGCATGTATTCTTTTACAAATGGTTGTATGGACAGGTAATGGAAAATGCAGCTGTGGAACAACCCCCTTCTATTAAGTCCCTTTGCCTTGACTATTGACAGGATATGTATGATCTACATCATCTTTACCTCACTGATAATAACTTGGATCACATCCCTCTGCCACTTCCAGAAAACCTAAGGGCACTTCATCTCCAGGTGAGCTTCCTTATTAGAGCTGCTCGATAACCCCAAGGGAAAGACTGGCTAGCAGGAGAAACTGGGAAGTGGAAAATATCTTTGCTATACTGCCTTAATACATGTCATCTTTCTCTTTCATTCTCTCAAGCTCAATGTAATATATTTGTAAATGTATGATCCTGTCTATCCTACTTATTTCTGATAACCCTACTTTTATTTTCCTTTTTTCCCTAATCCAAATGTCTATTTTTATCACACAACCCAAGAAACCTTCCCAAAGGCTCTTTTTCAAAAAGACTGAAAAAAACTTGTTGAAAATCCATCTGCTGAAGAAATATGTAAGGATTGAAAACAGACAAAGGGGAGAGAGGGAGAAAACATAATTTGATGTCTAACTTTAAGTTTGATGTTAGGTTTTATATAAGATTAATTTTAATTCTAGGGCTTCTTAGCTGCTGAAAGATGACAGAATTCCATCTCTCTGGATTAAGATAATATAGGGTTTTTTTCTAAATCAATATTATTTAAAATTTCACATTATTTTAAATTCCATTAGGCTGCATTTTATCTTTGAAGTTATGAGAGAAAATACATTTTCAAATATGGTATGATCTAACATTTTCTAAATATATTTTATTTAAATTTATTAAAATGTGTTCAATTAAACACAATAATATTTCTGACACCATGTATGAAACTTGAAAATACAATTCTAGCAGGAAGAACAAAGATGATGTATTATTTGACTCCATTTACGTGAAATGTCCAAAAAAGGAAAGTCCATTAAAAAAAAACAACAACAACAAAAAAAAACTGGGCCCTCCCTGGTGGCGCAGCAGGTTAAAGCACAGCACTAAGAAGCTAAAGCCTCTGCAGCATGAGTTCGATCCCTGCCAGCCCTGGAGGTGACCACATGATGCGGCAGACCTCTCCTGACCCGCCCGCTGCTCCCCTCAGCAGTGTACTTTGTCGATCTGCCTGCTCTGCTCCCCACTCTGTCTCTGGTGAAGCCTCTCACCGCCCCTGAGCCTCTGGCCTGTACCCCAGTTCTGTATGCACAAATAAATAAATCTTAAAAAAAAAAAAACTGAACTAGAAGTATTTGTAATAACTATGGGTTTTAGGGCAGATGTCACAACTCTGAGAGTATATTATAAAACACTGAACTGGAGACTTAAAATCGCTGTCTATTATGGAATGGGAAGTATATCCAATGTATCTTTCAAAATCATGTTCTGAACTCTGTTTATCCTGATAAATGCTTATGCTTCCTCAATTCAGTTCAGCCTCACTGGCTTTTCCCATTCTTGAACATTCCACATTAATTACTCAGAATTTGATCCTGGAGTTCCTCTGAGATTTTTGTCCCTTGGATCTTTCATGCCCATGTCTGCTTGTTCTTCTAGTCTCAGTTTCAGAGCTATCTCATAACTATTTTTTAAAGGTTTACCTACTTATGCAGACAGAACTGGGGTACAGGCCAGAGGCACAGGGGTGGTGAGAGGATTCACCAGAGACAGAGTGGGGAGCAGAACAGGCTGACTGAGGGGAACACTGGGCAGGTCAGGAGAGGCCTGCCAGGCCATGTGGGCCACCTCTGGGGCAGCGGATGGAACTCATGCTGAAGTGGCTTTAGCTTAGTGCTGTGCTTTTAACCCGCTGTGCCACCAGGGAGGGCTCTCGTAAGATAACTTTTCAATGTCCTTTCTTCATAGTAGTAATCATTTTTGAAAATATTTTTTTCTTTTAACTGATTTTTTTCACTTCCTTTTCTTATTTTTCCATGATTGAAATAAAAGTTTCATAAAGGCAAGAGAAGTTCTATTTTGTTGGTCAATGCTTAGAAAATGTTGATGCATAATAATATACATATGTAATAATCAAGTAATATGCACTTTTGGAGGAGTTTGAAGTAAAATGAACTATGGCATTAACTGTGGGTATGTAATCTTCTATCTTATTTATTTTTAGAATAATAACATTTTGGAGATGCACGAAGACACCTTCTGCAATGTTAAAAATTTGACTTATATTCGAAAGGCACTGGAAGACATTCGCTTAGATGGGAATCCTATTAATCTCAGCAAAACTCCTCAAGCATATATGTGCCTACCTCGCTTGCCTATTGGGAGTCTTGTCTAATTTCACATAACAGTTAACATGGCAGTGGCAAGGAGAACAATACAGTTCTTAATTCTTTCTTCAGAAACAAAACTCAGCATGATATTTTCAAATTATGTTCTAAAAGATGGCATGATTGCCTGATATACAACTGAAATGTTAAGATATGATCACAATTTAATAATCTATCAAAAAGACCTGTCAGGGTAAACTAAAAGATGCATAGAAAAAGCAAAACAAAATGAGAGAAAATATTTTTCACAAATATTCCTGTAAATCACATGTAACTTGTACATTTAAGGATTTGTATCTTACATAATTTCAAATTAAGTGACAAATAAGAAAAATTAAAAATGAAATTAGGCAACTTGCCAATAACTAAACATTTCATTTTTTTCCTTTTTTTCCATTAAAGCATGTTTCTGTTCCAAATCCATTAAAGAGAGTGAAGAAAATAATAAAAGTCTTTAAAAATTAAAATGACCTTGTGGCAAAATATTAATTATAGTCACAACATGCACAAACCACATCCAACAGTAATATACTCAGCGTCAGTATGTGAATCACATTTTACCATCACAAAAACACAATTCATTTAGACATTTGCTTAGCTGGCTGATTATCAATATATTTATAGGCTTGTGAAAAAAATACAGAGAATGAAAAATGTAGATAATGATATGACAACCACATTAGGAAAAAGATTAAGAATAATTTTTTTAGAAAATTTATGATCAGTGTTCAGTCCCCGGCTCGGGAGGTGACCCACATGGCACAGCAGACCTCTCCTGTCTAGCCTGCTGCTCCCCTCAGCAGTGTACTTCGTCGATCTGCCTGTTCTGTTCCCTATTCTGTCTCAGGTGAATCCTCTCATTCCCTCACCTCTGGCCTGCACCCCAATTCTTGTATGCATAGAAAAGAAAAATGTATGATCATCACACAGACATATGTTGAAAACCTGAAAGGCAATCAAAGTTGCAATCCATAAACTCTACTTTGAGAAATAACTAAACAATGGCTTCTTGTAGAGCTTAATGAAGTTTTACATGAGAAACAAAAACTTCTTAGAAATAATTTTCCATTTTTTGTAAGTATATATTGATATGTATATGTTGTACATGAATATAAATATCACCTGTTGTGTAAACATGGATTATCAAGTACAAAATATTAATATTCTGAACCTGGCTTTTGTCATACAAAATATTTCTTGATGATTTTTCCATGTCAGCACATACAACACTACTGTTTCTGAAAAATACATACCTGATTAGTACATAGATGTACATTTTATTTTTTGTAGTTAGAGTAACAATTCAGAGTACCTTTGCATTAGCACAAATATGTCCTTTTTTTTGCATATAGAGAGTATACCTATGGATAAATTCAGAGAAGTTAAGTTCTGAGTCAAAGAATATTAAGTTTTAATAAAGGTTATTAAATTATTCTTCAAAGATTTACACCACTTAGGATAGTTTTTACCAAGAAAACGGGGAACACTGCATTCTCTCTCCCCATAATGATTGTATCTAAAACCATTGATAACAAACTTTTCTATGCTAAAGATTCTGAACTAATCACTACTGATTACACAAGTTTTTCAGATATGGCTACACTATAACATGTTAATTCTCTGACAGCATTAATAATATTGTCAAAAGGTGTAGTTAATAATACCTAATCTTGGTACTATTAAAATGTAAAATCCTCATCTTTCATCCTCTTTAAATGTGTAGAAACATTGTATGTGTAGTTACCTTGCCACATTAACTTTCTTTTCATTGTTTGCTTAAATGAAACAGGATTCATCAATAGAAAAGTAGCATTATGATATTCTTTGATGCACAGGACAAACACCTTCCCAAACTATAAGCGAACACCATGAATAATTTAGAACTCCTTTATCTTACTTTTCAAAAATAGGAAAAAATAATTTGTATTTAGCTTTGGCAACCATGAGATGGTTTTACATTAATAAACCTGGGTATAGTGTTTGCAGGATTTAAGAGTGCATAAAATATGATTTATTAACATTATTTTTCATAGCAATATATTGATTACAGATATACATTTAAGAAATTTGTTAAATTTAATTTCTCTGATCAAATGTATCAGGTATTCCAACTTTAAAAAGAAGCTTTATTTATAATTTTAATTACCTGAGGTTTGATTTCTAAAACCTAATTGAAAAAGTGCTAAAATTAATGACTTATGTAACTGCATTACACCAGAACAAAGATTAATTAACATTGACAAATATAGTTTAAATGTGGTATTCATGCTAAATATAAAAACCAAGTGTCTAATTTCTCTGTTTTGTGTAGAGATTACTGCAGACTGAATCTTAAATGAGTTACTACTGCCATCAAGTGTTAGAATTCATTCTTTCAAATCACACAAATGTATAAAATAAAACGTTACAATTGCAATGTGTTCTCAACATAATGTCCTGCATAACATGAAACAAGGTACTTATCAGCATTCCAAAATGCAAAGATGTCATTAAAATCAGCCAAAGTTACGCCAAAATAAGGCATATTTTGCTAAAGTTACATGATATATGTGGCAAGCAGACTCTCAGGTCATGTCTCCATAATTTCCTGTATCATAGTATTCATGCTTTTGCATAATGCTCTTCTCTTGAAAAATTTTAGGACATGGGCCTAAGGTGATGGATGTTGTAAATGCCCACTGCCAAGTTTATGGCTGCAATATAGCCGTGTGTGAGCGTGTGTGTGTGTGTGGGGGGGGGGTGTTCACTGTGCTAGAAGCACTAAAGAGGCCCTCTTGACTGGCATGGCCAGTCGTGTTGAAGGACTCCATTCAGGGAAGGAAAGTGAGTCTGTAAGAATTGCTCTTGGAACCCAGTACCTGTGGGTGACCTCTAAAACTGAAGGTATTCTCCAGGCAATCAGCAGAGCCCTAAGACATACAGGTACAAGGAAATGAATTCTGCCAGCGACAAGAGTAGTCTTGGGAACAGAGCTTCTTGAATTAAGTTCCTGGATGAGAACCCAAGCCAGCCACATGCCTTGATCAGAGCCTCAAGAGACTGAGCAAAGGACCCACTAAGCTGTTCCTGGTCCTTTCTTCCCCTTGTCCCCACCCTCCACTTCCCCCATACCTGGAAACTCTAGGATAATGAATAATTGCTCTTTTAAGTAACTAAGTTAGTGGGAATTTGTTGTGCAAAAATATGAAACAAATACAATAAATTGGAAGTTGGTAACATGTTGTATTTTAGCATTGAATCAGAACATTTTGTTTTGCAGTTTTTAAAAACTATAGGTCAATTAAAAATTCTTTAAAAAACCTGTAATTGGGGCCTCCCTGGTGATACAAGTGGTGAGGTCTCAGCAGCAGGAGGCTGTCAGCAACCACTGCAGCACGAGTTTGATCCCTGACCGGGCAGGTGGCCCACATGGTGCAGAAAACCTCTTCTTACCCGCTGCCCCCCTCAGCAATATATTTCAGTCAATTTACATGCTCTGCTCCCCACTTTGTTGCTGGCGGTTCCTCTCATCCTCAAAACTTCTGGCCTATACATGGATCTCTGTATACATGGATAAATAAAATAAATCTTTAAAAAAATTTTGAATTTTTGATTGCTGTATTTAACACAATATGGTGGCAACTTTCTGGGTCATGTACTGGGTGAACAATTTGCCAATTCACTGATAAAACTAAAAATCATAAATTAAATTTTGCCGTTTAAGAAGAGGAAGGAAGACCCTTCCTGGTGGTGCAACGGATTGGAGCATAGCTAGGCAAAGCTGGCCTTCGCAGTCACCTCCATGTGAGTTTGATCCCCGCCCCGGATGTGACCCACATGGTGCGGCAGACCTCTCCTGACCCACCCCCTGCTCCCCTCATCAGTGTACTCCATCAATCTGTCTGTTCTGCTCCCCACTCTGTCTCTGGTGAATCCTCTCACCGTCCCTGCACCTCTGGGCATACAGAATACCAGTTCTGTATGCAAAAATAAATAAATCTTTAAAAAAAATAAAAAAGAAGAGGAAGAGTTGTGCAAGACAATATAGTGTCAATGAATTTAATAGGAAGGATAAATGTGAAAGATAGAAATCTCACCATAAAATATGTGCAGCCAAAATTATTTGTGTAATATTCACTTCAACAGTTCAAAACACGATGTCCTTAATTACCTGTGAGTTTGTCTTTTTTAAACCAAAGAAAAAATTGAAGCAAATTTTACTACAGCAATATTATAAATTTCTACAGTTCTCAAATAAAATCCAACAGTGTGTACCACCCTATGCTGTTAAGACAAAAATATCTGGAATATCACTCATCGTTTTGCATGCTGGAGGAGAATAGCCACCCTACATGTGAGTCTAAGTCCAGAAAGGGACAGAGCCTACACTGAGTCAACCTGGCTTGTCTTCCGCAAACCACAAAAGAAAGTGAACTAAGCAGTGAAGCCGGTACAGTCTACAGATGCAGAAATGGTCTTGCAAGCTTCAGGTTTGGCCCACACTTTGTCTCTGTGATTGAAACTCTGGTTCCTGAGGAACAGTGTTCCTTTTTTGCGCATTTCCACTTACTACAGAAAAATAGTAAAGGGATGGATGTGTTCTGGAGTATTTTTCTCTAGGATCAGAGGAGGTAGCATTTTCTGACTTTCCTAAAAAGTGGGACCAGATACATACAGTGTATCAACAGCTTCATATTTATAGGGTACCTGACCCTTGGTTATTTCATATCCTGTCTTACTTTAATCCCCTAGGCAACTACATGGAATGATAGAAAATGATGCAGAAACAAAGAATATGTCTGTGTTTGTTTTGCCACACAAGCACTCCCAGTTACTTTCATTACCCTCTAGGTTTAATGATCTCTCCTTTCCTTCTCTCTTTATCCTCCTCCCTCTCTCTCTTTCTCTTCTCCCTCCTTCCTCCCCCACCCCCTTACACCTCAAGCTTCCCTACAAAAGTACCATCAGAATGGCAAATATCAGATTATGGCAAAAACAAGCTGATGGCATTAACCATAATACAATAACAATATGCCGACCATGGCCACTTCCCTCTTCTCCTCCCTTGTTACTTTCCATAAAGAGCCCCAACCAGCAGGAGTGTGATCTCTCAGACATAAATCTGTCCTCTCCCCAATTTGTACATAAACTACTTTACTCCTCTTCAAACTTTTCTTGGCCAAAGGAAGAGAAACTAGCCTAACCTTCGAGTATCAATATCATTATATAACTGTATTAAAGAGAACCATCAGGAACCCAAGGCTTACAGAGGTTAAAAACTGAGGAGTTGATATTGAAGCAAGTCTGTTTTTTTAAAAGATTGTACTTCTTTTTTTTTTTTTTTTAAGATTTATTTATGCTTACAGAACTGGGGTATAGGCCAGAGATGTGGTGAGTGAGAGGATTTAACAGAGGCAGAAGCAGAACAGGCACATTGACAAAGGATACTGCTGAGGGTCACAGTGGGCAGGTCAGGAGAGGTCTGCCACTCCATGTGGGTCACCCGTTGTGCCACCAGGAAGAGCCCTTAAAAGACTTTACTTTTTAAAACATTTTTAGGTTTAAAGCAAAACTGAGTGGAATTTACAGAGATCTTCCTTACACCTTTTCATACACTAATCCCCCGCCCCTCTTCTATAATAAATAACCACCTATCAGATTGGGCTATTCATGGCAACTAATGAAACTGTGTTGATACATGATCACCCAAAATACATAGTTTTCATTGAGGCTCTTTCTTGATGTGTGGATGTGGTTAGAGACATAATGATATGTATCCACCATATAATATTCTTCAGGGTAGGTTTGTGTTTATTAAAATCAAAGTCTACGTGCTTCACCGTAATACCATAAAACCTCCCCACGTATGTACCCTTTGGATAATAAAGGGGCCGGAGGAAAGGCCTCACTACCTTTACATTCTGAAGAATCTATGGTAATGCTACATCCTGGCAACGTTTGTATAGTGAACAGAAATTGGCACGGCATATTTTAATCAGAAAACTGCTTTTTTCACACAGATTTCATTTAATTTCAGAGTCCTTTTTAGAGTGAGTAGCCAGTGGAGTGTAGCAACGCTTTAATTTGGGCCTCAGAGTCATACATGCCTAGGCTTAAATACCAGCCCTGAAGTCATGAGCCTCACTTTGCGCTGTTTACCCTCTCATCGTCCTAATCTGAGACACAGAAAAAACCCCTACCTCCTGGGGCGGGCATGAGCACTAGGTGTCGGGAGCCCAGCCGGCCAGTAGGCACGCAGCTATCACACGAGTTCCCTGGGATACATCGTTCCCAGCAGTTACAGCATACCCACCAGCCATCAGCTAAGGCTGATGACTCTAGAAGCTTCCTGGTACCTCCCTCGGTTTTCCCCACGGTGTAGACCATATGCCTGCTTTACAGGACCTAAATTCTCCTATCTACCCACTCCCACAAGGTGTTCTGGGGTTCCCCCATTATCCCCTTTCAGCGGAGACAGGCTGAAGGGCCACCTCCTCTATTCTCACATTTTAAACTGGTTCAGGTAAACTGTCTCAAGCATTGCTCGTACTGGGCAGTCTAACCGCAGTCGCCCATCGCTTGGCCTCCCTCAAAAACTGCGTCATAAGCCCCCTGAGAACTTTCACGGGGCACCTCGTTCTGGCCGGAACCTGGCACCCACGCACAGGGAGAACGAGCTTCGTCCTAATTGGCTGTAGCCCAGGGCAACCCAGGACGCGGTGGGCACGCGGGGGCTCCGGCCGGTATTTAAAGGCCGCAGCTGCCCGCGCCACCTCAGTCGGGCCGGGACGGCCACGGTGAAGCACCTAGGTTGTGAAAGGGAGCAGCAAGGTAACGCGCGACCCCTGGCGCCCCGCCGCAGCCCGCGCCTCCGCGGAGGCGGGTGTGTGTGTGGGACCTGGGAGCGGGTCTCACTGCGCGTTGCCCACCAACACCTTCCTCCCGCACCATCCTTACCCAGCCCTAGTTCCACCCAGCCCACCTGGGCGAGACAACCCTGGTGCGAAGGACAGAGATTCCTACGGAAGAGCGAGCGAGTGAGCAAGGGAGCGGAGGAAAGGGGGCTCCTGGCGAGCCAGGCGCCGTCACAGCGCAGACACGTGGCGCTGCGTGCAGACACACCGGGTGACCAAGCTCCTCAGGCCGTCGGGTCTGCCCACGGGTGAAGACACCTTCCAGAACACAATCACTTAGATCTCTCGGGCTCGCAAAACCATGACCCAGGCCCAAGACAAACGGGTGGATCCTCTCAACCTGGGCGGCGGCTGGGCATCCTCGGCGGGGTTAGGCACCTGGTCTTCCTGCCCCAGAAGGCGCAGAGGCGCCCCGCTTTACAAGCGGTGGTACCGCTACGGCCCCAAGGCTGACTACGAGCCCCCGAGGAAGCAGCCAAGGCAACAGCACGGCCCGGGCTCTTGGGTGCAGCCACCCCGAGGCCCTTCTTGGGGCGTGTACTCAAATTGGGGGCACTGGAGGGGGCCCTGGCGCCCACCTCCGCTGGGATTCCGGAAGCCCCCCGACCGGGTGCAACTAATCCGGGTGTACGGCCTGCACCCCTTCTGCCTGTGTTGCTGCTTCTGCTCGCGCGGGCTCTGGAACCCCGGCTGGGAGAGGCCCCCCGGGTGGAAGAAGCGCTGGGGCCGCAGGGGCCGCGGGCTGCGCCGCCACCCTCGCCGCTCCTTCCCGAGGAGCCCGCCGGTGGACCTGAGCACGCTGCTGCGGCCGGTCAACCTGTACGGCTGGCGGGCGCCGGGCATGCGCGCCCCACGGAACACCACCCAGTTCATCATGAACCAGATCTACGAGGACATGCGGCAGCAGGAGAAGCTGGAGCGCCAGCAGCGGGCGCTGCAGGAACAGCAGCCTCAGGGGCGCGGGGTCTCCCCGAGAACCCGCTTTCCCGGAGCCGAGTCTCCCCGTGGCGCCGAGGAGGATGCGGAGCTGCCGGAAGCTTTGTACAACTTCGTGCAGAATCCCTCTCTAGTCTTCAGCCCTGACCCCGACGAGGGAAACCCGTCTCCCACGCCACAGCTGGTGGAGGAAGAGGAAGAGGAGAAAAATGAGGAGGAAGGAGAAGAGGAGGAGGAGGAGGAAGAGGAGGGTGAGGAAGAGTGTGAGGAGGAAGAGGAGGGCGAGGAAGAGTGTGAGGAGGTGGAGGAAGAGGAGGAGGAGTGCGAGGAAGAGTGTGAGGTGGAGGAATACAGCGGGAAGGAAGAGAGCCAGGAGGAGGAGGAGATGGATGAGGAGATGGACGAGGCTGACTCTGTGGAGGAGGGGGAGGAGGATGAAGAGATCGACGACGCGCTGGAGGAAGAAGAGCAAAGAGAAGAAGAAAATAATTTACCCCTGGAAATGCCGTTGTCCTTCCTGATTGGGGCTGAAGAAGAGCGAGAGAACTTTATAAACTGTACTTATTTAAGTCCAGAACAGCTCATTCCCAAAGTGTCACAGGAAGCTCTCCTCATGGTACAGGACATTGACTTAGACGTCAGGAAAGGGACTGAGGAATGGGATGGAACTGATTTGAGGCAAAAATAGATTGGCAACTTATTTAAAAGTGAGTTCCATTAAAATAAACCTACCTATGTCAGCCCCTTCTTCAGCCATTATAAAATGTTTCAAAATCCTTGTGTTTGTGTATGACTATGGGTGGGGGAGGTGAAGCTTTCAATTTCAAATAGAAGTGGAAATTGTTAAATAGCAAGTATTTTATCACTACAATTTGAATATTTTCACTTGGTGTTTTCTCTAAGCACTAAGGATTTTTTTTTTCTTTTAACTCTGGCAATGCTGATTATATATATGAATACATACATACATAAAGTAAAAAAAGATATACAATTTCTCTACTTTGTATTTTTGATATCAACTTATTTTGACTGTTCCATGCTTGAGCATCTGCCATGGCTTTGAATTGACCACCAGTGTTCTTTACCTCACAAACCATTTTTTAAATGGCTTTTTTAATTTTATGTTTTTTGAAGATTTATTTTTGTATGCATACAAGAACTAGGGTATAGACCAATGATAATGGGATTGGGAGGGATGAGAGGATCCACCAGAGACACATTGGGGAACAGAACAGGTGGATCTACTGAATTATACTATGAGCGGAACAACAGGTGAGCAGAGGTGTGCTGTGCCATGTGGGTCAGCTCCCTGGCCCAGGATGGAACACTCATGCTGCAAGGGCTGGCGATTACTTGATAGCACTGTGTCTTGAACCCCTGTGCCACCGGGGAGGCCCCAAATGCCTCTTTTTAAATGATCTTTTTCCTTAAAGATTTTCCACCTTCAGAATTCTTTTTTGAGAGTTGTATTTGGTAACCCCACTGGCAGTCTCTTGTGGCATCTCTCATTCATATTCCTTGTTCCACAGTGCTTTGGATCTTCCTCAGAACATGAAGTTGCTTCTGTGGAACTGGTTCTCTGCCATGGCCTCAACAATCCATAAATCCATGCATGGAGAGGATTCCCCATGGGCAGAAGTCAACTTGACAGCTAGTTAAAATCTAAGGTAACTGCAAACAATGGAACATAGCTTAGATTTGGAAGCCTTGTTCCTAAATATATTCCTTGTCCTAAAGTCATAGGAATCAGACAAATGGCTTTTGCAGGACAGATTAAAAAAAAAATTATTGACCTTTTGTGGGATATTTTCTTTCCCAATCTGTCTTCCTTGTAAAGAAAGGACAGTAAAGAAAGATGAGTAAGTGTCAGCATGGGTAAGATACTTTCTCAAGTCTAAACAATAAACCGTTGCATATGAAGAACATATCATTCTAATATGTGATAATACATTTCTTCCTGGGCACATAACTTAAAGGGCTTATAGCATTTATAGCATTTCCCCAGAATATCCCCAGATGAAGAATTTGAAACTGCATTCACAAAAATTACTTCTTTGACAAACTGTATTTCTAAGTATAATTTGAACACAATATAGTATTTCTTTGTTGAGACCTAAGCTGGATGCTGATTTTACTCCTATAGTCTAGCATCTTGAAATTTAATCAGTGATGATTAATCAATGATGATCATCATTTAAGGGCTGTAAACATGAGCAAGATCTCAGGAGTTTAGTCCATGAATCATAATTCAATAAGCAGTAAGAATACTGCTTAGGATACTTGCTCAACCATTTAGGAGACTGTTAGGTGAATAAGCAAAATTCCTTTGCACATGTTGCTTTTGCATGTAAAAAGTAGAAAAAACATTCAAAGAAGAGCTAGAGAAGTTAGTCACATCAAATATTCTAAAGGAAATGCATCAGAAATGCATCACTATGAAAATGTGTATCATAAAAGCGTTGCACAGTGAAGCTGGGGATGTTTCCTGTGGGCAGACGGAGCTGTGACACTGAAGGCTAACAGCTTGGAAGAGCTTGGCATCTCTGAGGAACTGAAGACAGAAGGACCAGAGTGTCCTGAAGGAGCAACCAATCAGAAATGAGAGAGGTTGGCAGAAACCATGTTATCTGCTCCCCCCCCCTTTTTTTTAAGATTTATTTATTTATGCATACAAGAGTTGGGGAGTAATCCAGAGCTGGGGGAGACAGGTGAGAGGATTCACCAGAGACAGAGTAGGGAGCAGAACAGGTGGACTGACTAAAATACACTGCTGAGGGTGTGACAGGGGAGGTCTGCTGCACCATGTGGGTCAGCTCCCTGACTATAGATCAAACCCATGCTGAAGTGGCTGCAGAGCTTCACAGTGCTGGGACTTAGCCCCTTGCGCCACCACACTGGAGTCACTCAGGAGACTCCTAAATGGTTTCCTAAATGGTTGCTCACTTCTAAGCAACCCTGGCCTTCTGAAATGGACACAAGCAAAAAGAACTGAAAGGAAGAAAGTAGTCACTGATTCTCCACCTGGCATCATTTATTTTATAAACCAGCTTTCATAATGGTTCCTTTACTACTTGGGAATACTAAAATAAAGTGAATAAATGCTATCAGTGGTGGGTGAGGGGGCTGGACACCCCAGTACACCCTTTTCGCTTTTCCAAAGACCTCCCCTCTCACTGTCTGTGGTGAGTGGTTCTTGGCATTGCCCAGCAGGCTGGGGGCTCTAAGGTTCTCTGCTTCCATGGAAACAGCGCAAAAGCTTGGTCAGCACAGCCTGATGGCAGCGTGGTAGTCTCACTGCCAACATGGCTCAGAATAAGCCCAGTGTTTGGTTCAAAGGTAAGTGTACTTAATTGAGAGAGACACACAACTTTATCAAATTAGCTCATTATTCTTCAAGACATGTCAAGTCGGATGACTGAGCACCACAGCCAATTCTAGAATGATTAACTCCTTTGCAAATTGTCAGAAAAATAGAAATGTAAATTAAATTTCAAAAGTCTATGCTCACTAGGCAATTTTGCTGTCTTTTCTCAGATATTTTAGCATTCGGAGATTCTGGGATTTTCCTTTCCCAGTGACTGACATCATTTATTGGTTTATTGTCGTCATTTTGCTTTCACAATAATATAAAGGGACTCTTTTCCCTATGAAAATATAAGCCCCTTAAGGAGGAAAGACATCTACAGGGTCAACTCTGAATTCGAGTGTGTTTTCCAAAAATTCTATAATATCTGCATACAAAGAAGACATGAATTCCAACCTATTAGTTCCATATAAATAGAAACAAGAAATGGCTAGCCTCTTCCATATCTCTGGAGCCTGGAAAGAAATAATACAGATTTCACCCCTGTGTGGTCTTGGAGGGAGGGAGTGAAAAAGAGAAGCAATTTCTTTAATGTCGGATTTTCTCCATCTACTTACTTTTAGCCAGCTGATGAGACAGAGCCTTACACCCAAGTTAGCTGATGGAGGAGAAAGTGGGAAACTGTGTCTTGTCTCTGCTTAGGAGCTGTGTGGAAGCCACTTGATTTGTTAAATACAGATGTCAGGCCCTACCACTACTCTGACTATTGTGATGATCAGATAACCCAACCCTATGACCTCTGTATCACAATAGTCTGAACTGCATGTTAGAATTAAAATCAAGTTTTGAGCGTGAGATTAGATTAGTCACAAAACTAGGGAAAATACTGCATTCTGGTCTTCTGAGATACTGCAGTCAGGACCACAGAAACTCACTTGTCTTTGAAATTTAATTTTGACTTCTGGAGGAAAAAATAACAAAAATGGTGCAAATTTATTGATTTAGTGCCTTGAGATTGAAAGTGGGGTCCAAGTGCCAGGGATTGGCTTGTTAAAATGCCAGAGCCAGGCTCCACTGGGACCCACTGAGGTAGAATCTGTTTTGTAGCAAGACATCTGAGTGAGCTACAGACACAGTAAAGATTAGAAGCTTTGTCATTTAGGGTTAGACCTATTGCAGAGTACATGTGGGAACTGAGGGATGAAGATTGTGGTTTGTGGAATCAAAACTTCTATTAATTTCTACTGTATGACCTGGGGCATATCACTGATATTTTGGATTCTCATTTTCTTCTTCTGTAGATTAGACCTCATGACATTATATAAGTCTATGAGGACTTAATGTAGCAATATTTACCAAGCATTCAGAATAGTGATATTCAATACCTAGTAGCTACAATTATTACTTAATAAATGCACAGATAAGCTCTTTGACTTAAAGTCACTTGTTAAATATATGTGTAATACCTCACAAGATGATTAGCAGAAGGATTCATTAACACAACAAGATTGCTCTTGAACAGGGCTTATCAGAAACATGCTCTGAGTCAAACATACATAGACACTGTGAAGAAACCAAATCTCTGGAGTTGATCCATTGCCAAAATACAATTTTTCTTCTTCCTCTCTTCTCAATGCCCAATTGATGTTTCCTTTCTTGTGGCTGACATCAGTATCCTAATGGCTAATTCTGGAACAACCTGTCAAGCCAGGATCCTCTTTCCCACCCAAGTACTGAATGTTACAATGTGTATTTTCAAAATCAAAATGTATGCATCAAAATGCTTACAGAAGGTGGTTCTACTTCATGCTACACCTACAGATTATAAAAGTCCCATAAATATTATAGAGCTAAAATAAGCCAGGTTTATGACATAAATCAGAACAGAAAACTAAGCTTATAAAAAATGAATGTATGCAAAATTCAAACCCAACATCATGTTAAACATATACCATCCCATAAACTAATACTTTATTTCCCTTTTACAAGCGAAGGACCTGAAACTCTAATAAGTAGATTGTTACAAGGCCCTAGAACTCTACTTTGAGTTCAAAGTTGTTTGTCCACTGAGTCGCTCCCCATTGTCTTATTTAGAATGATCTGTCAGGGAACACAATTTCCGTCAGTCAGTTTGGCCTAAGTTCCAAGGGACTTCCTTTATATGCAGTTGATAATAGTGGTACCTGAGGAAGAGACTCATTGTTTCCAGTTATAAATATAATTACAATTATAATTCTGACTGGAAGTTTAACAGAATATTCCGGTCATAGGATGGCAATCGGAACAAAAGGTTGGCCAATATTTTTAGGTATCTGTGGAAATACATATATGTCTGATGGAAAACCAGTGTAATAAAGAAGGGCAAGATAATATTGTGTTGCTTC